AATACTGACAACACACAAAACTACCAAACTAAAAGACCCCAACAGGGTAATATCCGAGTGTCGGCTCGCAACAGGAGAATAAGTTTGACACTCGGGCACACAGGGGCCAACGACCCAAACCAAAAACACGACCTAATCAACACAACGACACAAAACATAACAGAGACAAACAACAAAACAAAAAGAAAAGAAAACAAAAGCTAAACCAAGCCCTCCCTCAGTGAAGAGACCGAACTAAACAGGTGGGCAGAAGCCAACTCCAAGGAGAAGTCCGAAGAACGAGGTCCACACCCACCACTGCCCGAAGCCTAGCAAGGTGTAGTCCCAGTCCCCAAACAACACTAAAAGACGACTCGCTCTCCAACAGAATGAAGCCAAAATTAACCCACAAGACACCGCCGTCCGGAGCCCCGCTAACACCACTAGCCGCAGGTCCGGCAACACCGGTCCCCCCTCGGATTCAACACCAGAGATCCAAGGAGAAGGGCACAAAATCAGCAACAATGCCCCAGCCACACCGAAACCACCGGTGTAACCAACAGACGCACCACCCAGTCCCCCTCCCCCAAAACAGCCCAAAGCCAAGCACCACCGCACCATAAAGAAGCCAACGACCAAACAGACAACGGCACCCTCAGAGCAGCGGCAGACCTGAGAAGAACCAACTGGAGAGAAGAAATGGGGTGACGCCACAAGCCACACCCAAACGCCGCTACCACACCCCTCACAGCCCCTCCACCCAAGATAGCCGTCGGAGCACGAACCACCGCCGAGGAGTCGGAGGACGCAGCGCCTGAACAGAACCACGAGCAGAGAGAGAGGAGAAGCGTCATAGACCAAGCCATGGGTGTGCGGTTAGGAGCTGCTCACCGGCAAGCCGGCGTCGTCACCGAGAGAGGCACCAATCGACTGGATTGAGAAGGAGGTCGGCGGAAGAATTGGGGGAAAGGGTTTTCGAGTGCGAGAGAGAGAATTAATTGAATAAATAGATTCTTAATTATAAATAATATATTAGAATCTATTTACTCAATTATTATAAAATATAAATATTGAATTATTACATTACTTATAATTTATAATATCATTAAAGTATGTATATTTAAGTAATTATATTCTAACTTATCAAATTTATATTAATTAATTATATTCTAACTTATAAATATTTATATTAATTGAATAAATTATATTCTAAAATATAAATCATATAGTAATTAAGTAAATATATTCAAAATTATAAATAATACAATAACTAAATAAAGAGGTTCGAAATTATGAATAAGATTTAAATTTTTATAAGGATTTATATTTATTCATATTTCAAAATAATTAAAATAATCAAAACTTATTTATATTATTTAAAGCTCATAACAAAGAATATTTTATATTTTAACTAATATTTTTTTGAATTATAAATAACATTTTTAATTGTTTTACATTACTAGAATTTAAAATAAATAAGCCGATAAATAATAAGTATTTAATTTATTTATTACAAACTGAAAATAAGAATTTTATGGAAATAAGTAAAGTTTATTGACATTCATCATATTTTCATGCATTATGAGTGATATATTGTGATATTAGGCCTTGGTTATCGTGTGATTGTGCACCATTTTGTTTGATTTATTAATCTATGATAGAGGTGTTTTTTTCGTTGGTTTTGCAGGAAATATGCCCGAAAAAGCGTTGAAAATAGAATCGGGACGAAAAACGGCGAAAACGGGTGCAGAAGAGGTCCCATGACTCGTGTGGGTAGTGACACGGGTCGTGTGGGTTGAGAAAATAAGAAACACATCTACGGCTTTTTCACACGGGTCGTGTGGGTTGAGACACGGGTCGTGTGGCCTCACACGACTCGTGTGACCCGGTCGTGTGACCAGTCGTATGAGTCTGAAAGTTTGCCGAAACGTTGAGAAAAGTCACACGACTCGTGTGGCATGTGACACGACTCGTGTGACGCGCAGACTAGTTCAGCGGGGAATAGGATTCTTGTGCGATTTCTTCCCTTTTTTGACCCAGAATAGCCCTACAGTATAAAACAGACCCTAGGAACTCGTTTTTGGGACTTTTGACACCATTGGAGGCCTAGAGAAAGCACGAAACTCACGAGGGATTCGAGGAAGTCAAGATTGAAGATTCGGGAACTAACGGCGACAATAGTTCTTCTTTCTTTTCTCTTTTTCTTCTTCATTGAACTCATGGATTTATTTATTTTGAGTTGAGAATATGTTTAGTAGTTAAACCTTTTAGATTCTAGGATTTGTTAGTACTCGGATTGATTTAAGATTTAGTTTTTATTTCTTTCATTTCGGTTTATCTTTCGTTTATGAATTTCTTGTGCTTATTATTATTGTGTGAGTAGATGGCCACTATGAATTCATATTTGTGATCGATTTGAGACCGAGAGGAGATAATTGATTGCTAGAATTGGGAGATTTATAACGTAAGAGAATAAACAGACCGAGAGGTTGATAGGACCTTGCGAGAGAACGAAAATCCTAGGAACTTATGGGAGTTAGTTGTTCATCTTGAGACCGAGAGGAGATAGATAACAATTAATATCTACGATTTGACTTGTTCGAGAGAAAGGTTTGAAATCAATTTAGCGATTATCTCTACGATTGGTAAAAATTATATTTTCTATTATTACTTTATTTTGTGATTGTTTTATTTTTTATTTTTTGTTTGATTAAGTTTTCTTGTGTTCTACAATTTTAAATAAATGTGTGTTAGATTTGTACCATATAATGATGGTGGCAGAGTGGTGTGAAGCCTTGTATATTGGCATTTTGGCCCAAGTTCGAATCTAGCAGCAGTTTACTTTAATTTTACCCAATAATTGGTATAAAAGTAAAGGGTAAAATAGTAAATTTTAATTTTAAAATAAAAAAATATATGAAAAAATGAATAATTTTCGCATTACAGAAATGTGTACTACACGCTCAGTCAAGTTAGACGGAGATGGGGGAATCGTACAACAATTAGTTAATACAAACGGGTCTGATACGCTCAGTCAAGTTAGACGGAGATGGAGGAATTGTGCGACAATTAGTTAATACAAGCGGGTCTGATGCAATTTTTAAAATACAGGGGAAAACGCGCAGATTTCGTATAATAAGGGGGGTTATATATATTTTACCCATATAGAAAAATGTACGGGATATATATAGTACGTGACCCGTGCGAGACACGAGATATATTTATTTGGGAAATATTATATTATAAGATGCAATATTTAATAAGAGTTTTATAATACGCAAGAAAATTGTACAATAAGATAGTATTCGACAAAGAAACAATCATATATTATTAAAGAACTCTTTGTACACAACATTATTAATTGTACAATAAGATAGTATTCGACAAAGTAACAATCATATATTATTAAAGAACTCTTTGTACACAACATTATTAGTTTGATTACTGGCAACTCGTCATTCTCACAAATCAAAACAAATTTTCCATACAATAATAATAATATTTTTTTGTAAAAAGATAACAAGGAATTTTCAATCTACACAAACTTTAAACATTAGATGTATTTACGTAAATCAATAACTATATAGACCCTTCAATTTAGGCTTGACATCTGCTTTATTTATGGATGACGTAGAATAAAGATTTAATTTTGACCGATTAAATCTTTATTTATAAGCTTGACATATAAAACCGATTTTATTGGATTTTTTTAACTAAACCAATGTTATGAGATAAAACAAATTTATACTTACCTTTGACTTTTCTAGCAAAGGTAAAAAATTCAGTTATGATTTTTATCCCATAACAAAACTTTAATGTTAAGCATATAAATACCAAAACAAATCTGTAATTAATGTCATTCCATTTCCAGTAAGCATTAATTACCTTTGACTTTTCTGCCTACTATTTTTAGTAAATATGATGACTTGTATATAAGTATAAATTTCAAATTCAAATTTAGTGCAAAAAAAAGAAGGTTTGTTCCTTTAAATGTAATTTTCAAATTTAAATTCAGTGTCCCAAACAAAAAGTTTGTTCATTTAAATTTAAATTTCAAATTTAGTGACGGGTTTGTCATTTCGGGCTGGGACCCCCTAGTTAAAAAGAGGACGACACGGACCCAGATCGACAGCCCGGATCCGTTGGATTGGCGGGCTAACCTGGCCTGCGACATTTGACCAAAGTCCCATTTGCTTCACCCAGAACGGGGAGATCACGTGACGAAGTTATTAAAACACGTGGACTAAACCGTTATCGTTCAGGTCTAACGGGATTACGGTGGCGCCACCCGCACCTGAATATCCCACCTCATTTTTCTGCCTTTTTCCCGAAAACTATAAACACTCTCCTTCATCCCCACTTTCCCCTTCAATTTCGTGCCCTAATTTCTCTCTATCCAATCAGCCGCAACATGATAACCAGACCTCATCCATCAACGTTCCAGATGCTAGAATCCCGGTCGCTCGTGTGATTTTAGCTCAAATTCTAGGTATTGATTTGAAGCATCGTTTTAGATTGAGATGGGAATGGTTAATTGATTTTTTTAGGGTTTTTCTGACATGGTGTTTGTTGAGGTGAATGGAAGCGGCGGTGGAGGTGGAGGTGGACCGTGGACGGCGCATGCAGCTCCGGAGGTGACAATGGTGAGTTTGACTTCAGTAGTTCTCGTCCTATCGAATTGTTTTGATTTCGAAATGTATGTTCTGCTTGCAGTCCATGTTGCTGATGTTTAGGGAATTACTTGTTGGTTTGTCATCCTGTGTGTTAAATGACTGATTCTGAGTTCTGTTAGATCGAATTACATGCCATTGATTATGAATTGTGGATATGCATCTGTTATTGTTTGCTTTCATTTGTTATTCAGAAATGGAATGTAAAATGCATCTATATCATATTAGCATTGCTCTCTGCTTAGTGTGTCAGAGGTGTTAAATTATATGTTGGTTTAATTTCCCTATATTCCACCAACTAATACTGGCCTGAATATGATTTTTTCAGATAATATTCATGCTGTGTAAGTCTTAGCACTCGAGCTGAATAATCCTAATCCTGAAATTTGTGGGAATATCTGTCATCCATCCAGCTTGTGCAGTGACGATTCGTGAAGGAACATTTCCTGATCTTGCTTCATCATCTGCAAGCTGCAATATTTCAGGTACACCATATCTGGTTTCTTCAATTGATAGAACACAAATAGCCAATTTTCACAAAGAAGTTTGTGTTTCTTCTTTCATAATTTTTTTCAGTTTACTAAATGAACTTGAGAAGCACATTTTGAATTTGGTCATTTTCGCTTGACTTATATATAACGTGTTGCTGCTGTGCTTTCTGCAGTACCTTCACGCAAACTTTTGGTAGTGTCTTATGTGTATATAGCTTATAACTTTTTCATAGTGTTTGGTTCAAGGGAATCTGAGGGGAGGGGAAGGGAAGTGAGGGAAACTTTTAATTTTCCTCCATTTGGTTCACTCTTTTGTGGGGGGAAGGGGATGAGATTTTCCCCTCTAATTCATGCACTAATTCATGCACAGAGGAAAAATGGCTCCCCTCTTTGGAGGGGAGGGAAAATATTAACACATTCAATTACAATTTTAACCTTATTACATATAATATTTTAATTTTTATTTTAACATCATTAAGGATATATTTGTCATTCTAACATTATTTTCCCTCCCCTTTCATTATCTAACCAAACTAGTATGAATCCCGTGCGGTGCACGGGTAAGAAATATTAATTAATATTTATAAATTAAATATGCTCATTATATAATATCTATAAAGTTAAAATATGAAACATACATGTAATGCATTTTACCTATAAAATTTAAATTGTGCAAATTTACATAAAACATGTTTAGTTAAAAAAAATAATGAAGTAAAAAAAACAATGGAAAAATGAATTTAAAATAAGTTATTTATTCTTATCTCCTCATCATGAAAGAAAATTTCCAAGTAGTTTTTGTATTCAACAGCAAATTTATTTTCAATTATTCACAACTTCATATGTAGTTTCTTAGTTCTAGTGACTTTGTTGATCAAACCAAATTCGCACTTCATCTTGAATTAAATAAAAGATAAAATCAATACTTAGAATATTAAAAATAAAATCAAATGAAGGATAACAACAAATGATCGAAAAATGACTGAATTTATAAAGGAAAAACAAAGAATAATTTAGTTAAATTCCATACATATTTTTTGTATGAAAAGTATAAAGAAATTGCAATAAATCAATTTAAAAATTGTACAAATTCTTTAGTACACGACTTCTGTAATGTAAAACGTTTACTTTATTTAATTCATTAAATTTTACTTTGTTTGACAATTATATTTTTAGTTAATTGTTAATAAAATTCTCATTTAATTTAAATGCGGTATAATTTTTTTGATTGGATGAAATTCAATTTAGAAATATTCTACTGTTGATCAGTTGGGATGTTACTAAATCCTATTAGTATATAACTTGTTGATCAATTACTGTATGAGATGGACTGATTGTTATGGTATGATTGGGTATCTCAATTTTTTTTTTCGTTGTGGTTGTTAAGTTGTGTGAATACTATTGTGTAATTTAATTAGATTGGTCGATTTAATAAATATATATACCAAATAATTTGGTATATATATTTATAAAGAAGTATCGACCTTCTCCAGATTTTTCTTTCATTAATATCGAGTAAAATGCTTAGCAATATGGAAAAAAAAATATTGAGATACTATTTCTTACCATAAGCCGGTATATTGGATCAATATATAGTATACTAAAGAATTATATTATATACTTTATCAATAAAATACTAAAAATGATAATTACTTTTATCACAAATTAATTTCCCAACGTAGAAAACAAAATCGAGAGCCACATTTTTCATAGATAAAAATAAAAAAGACCCAAAAAATAGTAATTAAAAAATAATTGAAAGAAAATTGCAATTAACACAATTATCTTGGAACAATTTTATAAAAATTTATAATTGAATAAATCAACAAAATCTATATGACCTGTGTAATTAGGATATCTTAAAAATGTACATTTTATATTATTTGATTAATTATCCACAAGTTGAATAATTAAATACACAAAAAATGAATAACATTTATTAAGTAAATTAACAATTTTTTTTTTCAAATCGCATAATTGATTATTGTCGTCAATATTTCCATAATTAGTAATTATTTGCAAAATGAATAAACCAGTTGGATTTACACAATTTGCGTAATTATTCTATATTAAAAATACATTTCATATGGTAACAGAAAAAATAATACATTCCATAAAAGAATTACACGAAAAATATAAAACACTTATTAAATAATAAGTTACACAATTTAGTTGGACTTTTTTAGCAAATCACATAATTAATATTGCATCCGAAATTGACATATTTGGGTAAATCATCCGAAGTCACATGATTTGAGTAATTATCTTAAAAATAAAACTTTTTATGTGTTAATTATTTCTTTAAATAATGAGACACAATTTTTATATGTGATTATTTGAAATATACTATAAATTGTTAAATTAATTATTCCAAATATTAAATAGATTTTTTTTTGGTGGAAAATATTTACTATTTAAAAAATAATCAAACCTTTATATAATAATAATAATAATAATAATAATAATAATAATAAATATTTAATGTACATTAAACTTGAACTACAATGAAGAGATTATTTGAAACATAAGATAAAGATTAAATATATCCAAAAAAATCTGCAGGCAATCCTTTATTTAAACGTTTGAATTTAAATTTTTGACTGAAAATTTCAAATTATGCTTGGGCGGGATTTCTAATTTTTTTTTTAAAAGTTACTATGTTTAGTAAATTTTTAGGCGGGAATTCTAATCATTTTTTAGCTACTATTTTAGGATTTATTAGGTTAACTCTTTATATAATAATAGACAAGGTTTATCATTTTTCCTCCACTCTCCTCTAACAAAATCCCTCCAAATCCTTCCAAACAAGGTAAAATTATTTTGTATCACCTCTCATTCCCTTCCCTCCCCTCCATTAAAATTCCTCCCCTCCCTTTCCCTCCATTGAACCAAACATAGCCTTTGTTTCTTACTCTGTTTTCTTCATTTCCGTTCTCCCTGAGGTTGATATCTTAGTCTGTCCTTCTGGGATAGCGTATTAGGCTTCATTTCTGAAAGTGGACAATGTGACTGGAAATGATTATATCAAGAGAAGTCCCAAGGAATTTCATCTACACTCTACCGAATAGAACTTATGTTTTCATTGCAATCTGAGCATTAAATATTATCAGCGTTTAATTTAAGAATCAGTAATTTAAAAATCGGATTCAAATTAACTAACTTCATTTATTTTAGTCATTGAATATCAGCACTTTTGAACCGCGGGGCCGGTTCTGACCCTTTTTTTTGTTTTTTGTTCTTAATTTATTTATTATTTTTTTTAATTTTTTAATGAACTGGGTCGCCAGAACCGGCGGTTCACCGAATTGGCCGGTGTATATGTTCGGGCTGGTTTAGGGCCGGCCAACCATTTGTCCGGAACCGGGCCCGAAACCGATGTTGGCCATGTCTAGACGGGTCAGACCCAGCACCTAACACAATTTCAAACAAGAATTTGCAGTTTTTCAAACATTATACTAGTCGCCGTTTATGCATTAAGAAACACGACGAGCTTCTAGAAATCCAAGGTTTTTCCCACGACTATACGCGTTCACAGACCTTTGAATTTAGAACAAAAATAATAAAACAAAAACATTGTGCAGTTTTGCCTCAATTTTCAAATCGAATTTTCCACCTCCACCATCCCGTCTCCTTTAGCAAACCAAACCCACAAAATATATAAAAAATCAAAAATAAAATNACAAATGGAAGACAGGTACAACCATGAAGCACAAGGGTACCCCCTTGCCCCACCCTCCATGCCAAGAAGCCACCAAACAATATACACCAACAGCAGCACAAACTACACTAACTACCACACAAAAAGGCGAAAAACAATCAAACGCCTAACCTTAGTCGCAATCTTCGTCTCAACCCTAGCCGCAACCCTCCTCGTGCTCGGTCGAGCCACCACGCCACGCGTACGCCTAGTCGACGTCACGCTGACTAACAACAACAACAACGACAACTTTTTGCTGACTGGTCGAGTCTTGGTCAGGAACCGGAACTTCTGGCGGTACGAGTTCGACGGGGCCATGGGGACCGTGCGGGCCGCCAACGGCACGAGCTTGGGCCGGTTCGCGATTCACGACGGACGGGCCAGCGCCCGGTCGACCCGAAGGATTTATGTGTTTGCGGACTTGAGGGGCCCGTTGGGCTCTGGCGAGGCCCGTTTGAGGGTCGAGGCGCGGCTGAGGGGTGAGGTGAGGGTGCTGAGGGTAGTGAGTAGGGATAGGTCAGCTGTTTTGAACTGCACCATAAGTGTTGGCTTGCCCATAAGAGGTGTTCAGAATTTGAGGTGCCAATAATGTATTATTAATTTATTATTATTATTATCATTATTGTTATTGTTGTACACAGTATTGTTTGGTTTATTTATTAACATATAGCTACAGTCAAACAAAACAATATGTTTATCCAATCGTTAAAAAAAAAAAAAATAAATAAATAAATTGTGTGGGATTGAATTTTTCGACTTAACGAGTTTACCCACACTATTAGTTAAAATCGATTCTTATAAATAACCAAAGAGAGAGAGAGAGATGCGTACCCAATTTTTCATGGGGATGGGGGATTGGGGGTGTTTGGATTAATATTTATAAAATTTTGGCATGTTTAATTTTTCATTATAAAATAAAATTGGCATAGTCTGTGTTTCGGAAAAGTTTGAAGATTTAATGTTTAGGTATTTTTACGTTGTCATCAATATATCACGGTCAACAAATCAATGTTGGTGACGGTTTGAGGGTTTGTATAATTAAACACTCTAATTCTCAAGTGTTACATCATGAATATTTGACAAAGTAGCATATATTATATCAACTTTCCAGAAAAATAATAATAATTGGATAATGTGCAATGGTTGATTGTTCTTCGGTCCCCAAACATGCAAACCCAGCAATTCGTTGAAATTAGAAATTTCTTTTTGTTATTGTTAATATTTTTTGTTATTACTTCGCGTCACTCGAGGATTGCGCAAAAAATGTGATGTGTAGAGTGGTTAAATGAAATGAGCTACTAGTTTAGTTTGATCTCGAGCTTATTAAGCTCGTTTAAAGCTCATTTAGTTAAGGAATCGTATTCTTAATTAAAGGTTGAATATTTTCAATTTTATTTTGTTTTTTTACATTGTGCTAACTAAAACTTGGACTCGACGTGATAATATTTATGTCAGAATATCACTTGTGAGTTGTTTCACATCGTTCATACATGAAAACTAGACCCACTTTATAAGTCTTATGGGCTACTCCTCCTTCCACCAATTGGTTTTGGGATGGAACCCCATTTGGGCTTCATATGGGCTTTTCCCGTTTTCCCATGGTGCACTTCATGATAGTGGGTCCGCATCCATTTTCCCCCAGTTTCTGTCATGGTATCAGAGTCGGTTCTACCGTGCGATGACGTACCCGTTTTCCCCCACATAGGTGTTTATGGGAGCCTACTTCTAGTAGGGCTTGGGCACCCAGCCCAGTTATAGCTTGGGCTTTCGAAGCACTCACAAGTAAGAGGGTGTGTTAGAATATCACTTGTGAGTTGTCCCACATCATCCATACATGGAAAATAAACCACCTTATAAGTCTAATGGGCTACTCCTCCTTCCACCAATTGGTTTTGGGATAGAACCTCATTTGGGCTTCATATGAGCTTTTCCCGTTTTCCCCTGGTGCGCTTCATGATAGTGGGCCCCCCCAGTTTCTATCATGGTATCAGAACCAGTTCTACCATGCGATGACGTACATGTTTTTCTCCACGTACCCGTTATGGGAGCCTACTTTTAGTAGGGCTTGGGCACCCAGTTCCGTATATGGGCTTGGGCTTTCGAAGGACTCACAAGTGAGGGGCGTGTTAGAATATCACTTGTGAGTTGTCCCACATCGTTCATACATGGAAAATAGACCCACTTTATAAGTCTTATGGGCTACTCCTCCTTCCACCAATTAGTTTTGGGATGGAACCACATTTGGGCTTTATATGAACTTTTTTCGTTTTCCCATGGTGCGCTTCATGATAGTGGGTCCGCACTCATTTTCCCCCAGTTTCTGTCAATTTATAATAACTCGACTTCATTTACCGGCACATTTAGTTAAGCCCCAACTTGATAAATACTCGAGCTCGGCTTAGGTCGCGTTTAAACCTCTACGTATACACATAATAAACCTTGTTTTTGAGATTACATTTCAAAAACTGTATTCAGAAATCAACATCTTCAGGTCATTTCATCATTTAGAATATTGTTTGAAATAAATTTTGAATAATCCTAATAAGAACATCCATTTTAAAGAACTATGTGATTGTCTATAAATTTTTCTAGGAATATATTAAACTTATGCAGGAGTTTTTGAAAAGTTGTAGTCTGAAGTCTGAACATGAATTTATGGCGCGATGCACTTTCCGCGAAGTTGGATAGTTTTATATTTATCTAAAATGAAATTTAGAGAAGCTATAAATTCAAAAGGTCACATTGATAATTCTTATAAATTAATTTATTTAATTAAATATGATAAAAGATACTTTTATACATTTATTTATTTGTTGAAGTTTTATTTGTTAATGAATTATACCTATATTATTTATTAAACTGGTGGAAGGAAGGGAAACTCGAACACAGAATTACCTATGGGTGTGATTGTTTATGGATTCAACTAGTTTTTATTTGGTTTGTTTTTTTAACTATAGTTAATTTTAAAAAAAAAGGTGGTATGGTTAGTTGTTAGTGGATATATTAAATAATATTTAAAAATAATAATTAAAATTGATTTGATGTAAAGTAAGAGAAAAATGATTGGAAGTGATAATTAGTTAAAATTATGTGAGTGGATAAATAGTGAATTAAAGTTGATGTGATGTGTAAAAATGATTGTTTGATATTATTTAATTATATTGATAATATTAGAGATAGTGGGGTTGGGTAAAGTTGAGTTAAATTTGAGTTTTGATTAGTTTTTTTACTGTTCAAACCATATCCAATCGCCCCCTATATTATTTATTAAACTGGTGGAAGGAAGGAAAACTCGAAGAACCTCCTCGTCTACATTAATCCATCTGGCACTCCTCTACATTATCCAACTTTCTGGAAGGAAAATGTAATATTAAAACTTCACAAAACTATTGTTTATATTGCAGTATGAAATACTAGTATACTGTATAAAAAATTATTACTCATAAAGTGTCATTTACTACCCACTCTTTTGATGCAAAATCTCCAAGAATCGAAACAACAACTCATGTTCTCCCTCCGAGAAATCATCATACGGTACGATTTCCCTACGTTCATGACAAAATAATACAAAGATTTATAAATAATTGAACTAGCTAAAAATTTAATGAACTATGATATGATACGACTATACCATGTTTCAATAATAAATTCATTAATATTATGAAAGCAACATTACCTGTTCATGTTCATCGGGATGGATTGAACTCTATCATCCGGTCTTTCATTTCTTTCAATGACAAGTATCTCTGCAATATTTACTATTCAACAAACATGTAGCCGAATCATGTTTTTCACATCCTCATCATCGGACAAACTAACTCTTTTTTTTTCCTTTGGCGCAATATATCATAGCATGATGGATTCGAAATTAATGTTTGACCACCTCTTAGCAATGAGAGTGTACACTTCGTCAAACATTTATCCAATGTACATAAAGAACACAAACAATTCATTTTTGTAGGTACAACTCCCTAATATATCACTTTGTGCCCCTCCCATGTATCTAACAATAATTGGATAAATTAAAAAAATACTTCACATTTCCCAACACATATGGTATCAAACAGTGATTAAAATGGTACTATATATACAAACAGAGGTACAATAATCAAGAATAGTGGTACAATGACCATTCTCACCTTATTTTCTTGTTTTAGGGTGAATAATTCCTAACATAACCTAATAATAACATCAATTTCATATACATGAACAAAAAAAAAAAGAGATTATGATCAACTTATTTGATTTAGGATAAATATGAACAACAATATTCTAAATTCAATCCTTAACAAATTAACCAAAAATATATGAATTAAAGATGATTTTTGAACTGCAAAATCTTCATATAATACATAGATTACTTACTACTTCAAATTTTGGCCCAAAAAAGGACAAATGTTGCCGGAATCAATTTTTCGTTCGAGAAAATTCACGTCCGGATCACTTCTTTCACCGGATTATTTGTTGCCACCGTAGTTCTTCTCGCCGAATTTGATGTTGCCTGAGAGACGAACCTGCAAAAAAAATAAATAAATAAAGTAGTCGCCGGTCGGGAATGGAGGGAGACGGAAGGGGGACCAGATTTGGTGATTTGGTGTGGGGAAGAAGATTGAACAAAATAAAATAAAATATTATTATGTGTAATGGTAGGTATAAGAGAAAATTAATAAAATAATATGTAATATTAATTATAGGTGGGATGATGTCATAAGTTATTTTATTTTTTATTTATTTTAACAATAAGGAGTTAAGTGGAAGAAGTTTATAGGAGTAGGGAATGCAATCTCCAAAAAATTAAAGTGGGGACTGAATAAGAAGTTCAAATAAGGTTTGAGAATTTTCTAGAAACTTTCCCTTTAGAGAAGCTATAAATTCAAACGGTCACATTGATAATTCTTATAAATTAATTTATTGAATTAAATATGATAAAAGATATTTTTATATATTTATTTATTTGTTGAAGTTTTATTTGTTAAATGAAATATAATAAAAGGTAATTTTAGAAATATTATTCATTAAACTGATATTAAATTAAAATATACAAAGAGAAGTAATTTAAACAAATATATTCATTAAATTTTACAAAACTCCAAGAACGAGGTCAATGAGGGAACCATACGTAAGCAGATTGATGAAATGAGCGGTGATGAGGTCCAAGACGAATGGCTCCGGTTCCTCGTCAGGTCCTCTCCGGTTCGAATGGTAGGCTGGCGGGTATGGTTCAGTCCAAGCACTTCGAGCTCGTCGGTACCTGCAAAGCGCCGGAATTGCTCCGGCGCAAAACCCTCCGACGCCCAAGTCAGTGTCTGGCCATAAAGAGGGAGAGAGAGAGAGAATTGTGCGTAACAAGTGTTGCAGTGACATAATGAATAATAAATTCCTCTTACCCTTCAATCGGCGAGTTTACCTCTTAAATAGTGGTTGGCTGTGCGGTCCTCGGGACCATAAATACTTAGACATTCAGTGTCCGAGCACCTGTCATATGATGACTTCGAGGGCCAAGGCTCGACCCTAAGCCCCTTCACCGATCGGCGCTATGGTCGAGGGTCGACTCCTTGGACCAATCGACCCTTAGGTCCGGTCGACCCTTGAGCGGGTCGATGCACGGTCGAGATAAGGATCGAGACTTCCGACTTGGGCATCTATCGACGTAGTGTAGACCGGTCGATGTTGGGGCGCATTGGTCAATGCTGGGGCGCATAGGCCGATGTTGGGGCGCATAGGCCGCTATTCGGGCGCATAGGCCGCTGCTGGGGCGCATAGGCCGCTGCTGGGGCACATAGGTCGATACTGGGGCGCATAGGCCGCTGCTGGGGCGCATAGGTCGATGTTGGGGCGCATAGACCGCTGCTGGGGTGAATAGGTCTATGTTGGGGTGCATTGCCGCTGCTGGGGCGCATATGCTGATGTTGGGTCGACCCCCCATCGGCCCCGGGTATATGCTCGACCGTTTGAGCAGGTCGAACCCCCCACGGTCCTTCTCATCCAGTTCGGCCATTAGGCTTAACCCAAGTCGGTACTATAATCCCTATCAAGCGGGACGATTCGTCGCTTTATTTTTATTATTAGCTATTTTTTCTGGGTTTAGAGTGCGAAAAGTATACAATTAAAGAGGTTGATGGAATGAGCAGGACGTCCAATTTTTCCTAAATTAAAACTATTATTAGCTATTTTTCTTTTTTTTTAGGATGTAGGGTTTAAGGTTTAGGGTATTTCAAATAAAAAAATTATGTTTCGATATTAATTTAAATGTAAGAAGTAGATTTTCATATCGCCAAGTTAGTAATAATGTGAATATATGAAGAACAATAAAAAGGATGTTTTGGTTGAGTTGAATAGTACATTATTGTTTTATTATTATTATTATTATTATTATAATAATATAGAAAAAATTACTCATGCACCTTTTTTAAACATCTTTAGTCCCTAAATAATAATTATTTCTTTAATTTTTTTGATGTCACATACACCCCACAGTAGTACATAATAATCTTTTAAGTATAAAATAAGTACAAATATATGCTAATTTATTTTAGTAACAACAATATGCTAATTTTTTTGATGTCACATACATCCGTTAGTTAAACATTACTTTTGTTTCTGTTTACATTTGTTCATTCATACGAAGTTTACATTTGTTCAATATTTATACTTATACATTACTTTTGTTTCTGTTTGCATGTTTAAATGTTTTTATATAATTATTGTTATTATTATAATCAAACAAGATATATTCAGCTATCAATAAACAAGGTGTTTTGGTTACCTCTGGAAGTTTTATGGCTTCATCCATGCAAATATAGTTTTATGAGACCTTTTCATATTGTAGTAGATGAACATCATTGTTGGAGACATTATTTATCAGTAAAGTAAATGTTTACATTGAGTAAAACATGGACCAGTACACAATCAATAAAATAAGATAAATATCAAATTTAATACAATACAAAAAATAATTTAGTTTTTATCGTTATATATATATATATATGATTGATTACATGTTAATATCATGTTGTTTTCCCTCCATAACTTATTAGGAGTGTAATTTTGGTATTTAACATTGTAAAAGTTGATAATTGATAAAATTCGGAACATATATGTCATATGAAATTTAAAGTGGTTTATATGTGTACTTTAGCTGATGTCATACACTCTCTTCGTTTCTAAGAGACAAACATTAAACCTTATGAAATTTTAAAAATGTCACAAATTATTATTATTAATATTATTATTATTGTTTTATTTTTATTTTTATTTTTGGGAAAGACTAGCTTAACTCTATTATTTTGTTTTAATTTAATTGGATGAAAGATACGCATAATAACGTCATATATATTAGTAAATGTCTGTCTTATTATTTATTTTTACTGGTTTTATTAATGAATAATAAAATGAAAACTATAAAAAGTAAACATTTTATTAATATCTTTATTTCAATAGTTCTTCTATTCAGCCGATCTAACCATTAAACATATATATTATTTTCATTTGGAAATATTACACCTTACAAACAACAAATAATATGATGTTTGTTAGCTTCCTCAACAAATTCGATATTTGACCACCAGCCACAAACAAGAGGCACAAACGGAAATTGATTATATGGTCTATACTTTAAGGCAAACTTTATGTTGTATAGTTATGACTTGTGATTCTCGATTATTTTATAAATTGGAATCCAACAAGTGTTATGGTTTTAAAAATCATTTAATAAATAAATTAGGGTGGTGGATTTGAAAAAATAATTGAAGGCTTTCGTGTTTTGTGTTATTCTCCGTGTTATTCTCCTGATGGAGAATGTTTATTCTCCATTAATGAGATTATGTTTGTGTGTTTTTATTCCAGAGTAGGTTCGAGACAATCTTCTAATTTTACCTCTCATTATAATTTATAACTATCTTTTAATCTTCAAATAGTGCAGAATTTTTTTTATATAATGATAGATTTGGGGTAAGGGGGGCTGTTCTGACCCACTAACAGCAGCCCCAGCTGTTATTTTATAGCCATTAGATCCATTATAATCTAACGGTTTAAAGTTGGATTTTTTTCTCATTTTGTAAACAATTATTTCCGTCGCTGTACTCATTCTCTCTAAAATACATCGCCAAAAAATTCATCTCCGCCGCGGGCTCCATCGCCGCAACTGTCATGGTTGTCCGCGCCGTCGCCAACGACCTCCTCCCGCTGGAGCTCCACGACCACATTTTCTCCGGCATCCGCCGCCTCCTCTCCAACCAGCTCACCATGGTCATCGACGAGTTCGACGGCCTCGACCCCCCACGACATCTACCAGGCCGCCAAGGCTCACCATCTTCGCCGCCTCCTCTTCGCCTTCTCCAACCAGCTCACCGTGGTTGAACGCCCGCCACCTGAAGATCGGCCGGGGCGAGAGGGACGAGCACTACTGAATCTCCGCAGAGAAGGACCCTACGCGGGCCAGATTGTTTATCCTTTTTTCCTTTTGTATGCCTAATGTCAATTATTTGTTGCATCATTTTGCTTCTGCTCCTATTTTCGACATCCGTATACCGATTTAATTTGAAAACTATGTCAAAGTTTTACAAGTCAATTTAACTATGCTAATTTGTGTGGTTTTTGTATATCAGGGTTTTGTTATTTCAGACGGCAGGGCATCGATCGAATCACCTCTCCTCCACATTCCAACTATACATACTCTGTTCTAGCTGATGTTCATGCTGGCATCGATATGGTGTTGTATCTTTCTTTGCTGGAGGAAAAAAAAAAAAAATCACATTTTCCACTGTAGCAGATTCTAACAATTCCCATTCTCTAAGTTCAATTTCATCTAAGGTGGAATCATTTTTGGTTTTCACAGTTTATGCTGCCATTCAACTTCACTGAGTTCATTAATGACCTCACTTATCTGGTGAAGGACAACTTTATCTCAATGGATCGTATAGATGATGTTGTTGAGAGAATTTTGCTCGTCAAGTTCAAATTGGGTCTCTTTGAAAACCCTCTCGTTGATCTTAGTCTGGTCATTGAGGTCGGGAGCCAGGTAGGTTAACTAAGAACCATCACCATCAATGTGTGTACACTGAATGCCGAATACTTGATTTAACTATAGCCCATCTTTAACTCGTCAAAATTTTTACTAGCTAGCATTGTGATAAAATAACGTTGAGACATTTGATGTAAGTCATAACTTATACGTCTGGCCCGCGTAGGTAACTATAACGCGACCGTCAAGTCCGAGGCTTGCTCGTTCGAGCTCACGTTCCACCGCAAAAACAGGAACCTCCCGCACGTCGCGCGCGAGGCCAGGAGCCCCGTTAACCGTACATTTGTGATTTAAAAAAGATAGTGACGGAAATTGTTGTTTTAAAAATGAGAAAAAGATCCAACTTTAAATCGTTAGATTATAATGGATCTAATGACTGTAAAATAATAGCTGGGGCTGTTGTTACCCGTACATTTGTGATTTAAAAAAAAAAATGGAAACGAGCCAGCACACGCGGCAAAATCCTGCACTATTTGAAGGTGGGCCCCACACAATAACGTCCCCGATTAGATTCCAGAATCTTCTTCCACATTCGTCATTTGTAGCTGTTACCACTGAAATTTGCACAGATCCCTTTTCTCATTCTCTCCACACACACAGTACATAGAGCGCAAATTTGTCGATTAATCTGTGTGAAAACACGAGCCCACTATGGCGGATTATCGCGAGGAAGAACAGAAGAAGGAGGAACCGTTGATTGAGAAGATCGCCGATAAAATCCGCGGTCACAGTTCATCGTCTTCGTCGTCGTCGTCCTCGGACTCTGAGGATGAGAAGCCGTCGCCGTTGAAGGCCAAAGTATCCCGCCTCTTCGGAAGGGAGAAGCCTGTTCATAGGCTCCTCGGCGGTGGCAAACGTACGTCTTTTATTAAATTTAAAAAAATTGAAATGAAAACCTGATCGAAAGTTTCAATTTTTAGTTTTCTTTTTTCCTACTTCGGATTGATTGGTAAGATGAATTGCGTGAATTTCAGGTTTTGAGATTAACGGGTGTATTAATTGGTGGATTTTGTGGCTTTAATTGTTTTCTCAATTTTGGGATTTGCTATGTTGAAAATATTCTTTCGTGATCCTTTGATGTGATTAAAAAATATTAATTTGCTCAATTCCCAAATCTGTTTGGGTTTGTGATGAAATTAACCTAAATCTGTTTGGAATGTGATTGAGTAAATTATCCATCGTTATCCTGTTCTTTTCCTTTAACCAATGGAAGTCGTTCTATTTTCTTGGAGTTCAGCTGCTGATGTGTGTCTATGGAGGAACAAGAAAATCTCGGCAGGATTGCTCTGTGGGGCCACCGCAATTTGGGTTCTCTTTCATATTCTCGAGTACCATTTGTTAAGTTTCGTCTGCCATGGTTTGATGCTCGTGCTCACTGTTTTGTTTCTGTGGTCCAATGCCTCCGCTTTCATCAACAAGTGAGCCGTAGTGCATTTTTGTGTTCTTAGTCTTGCTAGTGTCTTAATTAATTTAAATATGTTTTCTTTTTTGTTTTTGTATGTTTTCTGTTTTCTTGGTAGATCTCGTCCTCGCATTCCGGAAGTGAGTATTCCTGAAAAGCCATTGCTGGAATTTGCCTCCACTTTGAGGATTGAGATCAACCATGCCTTTGCAGCTCTGAGGGATATTGCATCTGGACGGGATGTGAAGAAATTCCTCTCCGTACGTAGTTATATTGTGCTTTTGAATTTTTATCCATTGATTAGAGCATTTGATTGATCTGTTCTTGTGATTGCCTTTTTTTTTTTCCCTTCCCTTCACCTTTTCCATTTTGCATAGTTTGCCCTTTCAAGTTCCAATAGCAATGAGGAAGTTGTTTTTCATATACTTGCAAATTGCTAGATAAAGATCAACTTCAACCATTATTTCAAGGCAAATTTGCCCCTAATATCACGACCTTTATCGAAGTTGTAATTTAATCATGACCTTTTCACTTTTGCAAATTATATCACAATCTTTAGTTTGTTGCAAACAGTCTCAAAACAGTCATAGAAAAGTTGATGTGGTCGAACAACAAACTGAAGTTTGTGATATAGTTTTCACGGGACATGCAAATCGGTGCACCAATTTGCAACAAATTGAAGGTTGTGATATAATTTGCAAAAGTAAAAAAGTCATGATTAAATTGCAATTTTGAAAAAGGTCATGATATTAAGGGAAATTTTGCCTTATTTCAATTGTTATTTCAGTTTTTGTGATTTTCAAAATGAGGAAGTTCTCAGTAGGACTTTTTAGAAGGTAATGATATTAATGGATGGCTTTTTTATGCAGGTGATTGCCGGCTTGTGGGTATTGTCAATCGTGGGAAGTTGCTGCGACTTTTTGACTCTGCTTTACACAAGTAATTGAAATTCACATAATAAGATTGTTTAAATTCCCTACTTACCGTTTTCTTCTCATTATCAGTTTTAATGAAACAGGTACTGTGCTGCTATTCACCGTGCCAATTTTGTACGAGAAGTATGAAGTCCAGGTGGACTCTTATGCTGAGAAGGCAGTAGCTGAGCTCAAGAAACAGTACACTATTTTTGATGATAAAGTCTTGAGCAAGATCCCTAGAGGGCCATTGAAAGACAAAAAGCGTGAATAAGCTCCTATATATAAATCTTACTAAATACTCGACCTAGTGAAGATGTGTTGATAAGAATTTCTTATTTGTTGGTATTTGTTGCCTGTTCTTAGTATTTGAGTATGCCACCAGAACGAATAAAAACGAATTATCGATTATCATGTATGTTGTGGTATTATTATTAGTCTTTCACTCTCGGATGTGTGATTAAAACGATTTGCATTTTTAAAGTTCTGTGTCCGGTTCGTTTAGCAGTTCTTTTTTTCTCTTTGATGCTCAAGTTTTGTGTGTTGTTAATTGAGATTGTGTTACTTTCTGTTGGTATGAGGTCTTGTGAAGTATGGTGTTCCTATAATAATTGAGTGCTCTAATAATGGAGTAGTTGGGGTTTTGGTCCCAAAGATAATACATTATGAGGTTTTCATGCTGTGGACAAAATGCAATCTGACATGCAGATGCATACAAATTAAGATAATAAATAAGGATTGGTGTTTGTAAATAAAACCTAATATAAAAACAGACAAAAGAAATCAATCATCTTTTCAATTTGAAAGTTACACATAAGATGTGATGATAGTCATCAATTATGTCGCTTCAATTCAAATATTATCACAATTCACAGCTACAGATGA